AATAATCCCTTAAATTTAATAAATAAAAAATATTAATGATAGAAAGGACACATATTAATTTTAATTAATGATTTTTACTTTCAATCAATTTTCATATGTGACAGTCAAAAAGTTGTACCAATACTTCATTAAAATATTATTTTTCCCGTTATAAAAAAATATAAAACGAAATTCACAATTTTTCATTGAAAATACTCGTGACTTATTCATCAAAAATACTTATGTTATAAATGTATATAAAATCAAAATTATATATAAACTTATACCTAGTTACACTTAAAGTCAAACATATTGTATTAGTAAAAAAATTGCGCTTGTACCAAGTTTTAAAATATTACAATTTATTGGTATATTAAAAACATAAATTATCAACATATTTATGTAGGCTAATTTATTAATACCATGAATTACATTGTTTTTTCCTGTTTATTTTGTTCAGTCTAAAAAAAAATATAGATATCCTTCAAATTCTTACCATCCATTATAATTTGGTATTTTGTWAGATACATTTTACCGTATTTTACCGAACTTATGTTGAACAACGATATTATTAAAATAAAAACCACTTATTACAATGCTGTACATAACGATATTTCGGATAAAACTATTCATAGCCATATATATCTATTACACCTATTTAGTTTATCTTACATTTACATGCAGTATATTTTTGTYATGCAGATATAACGATTCGATTCCCAAGGTTCTGTAAAGATCGCTATAAGCGGATTCTACTGTAATACTCGTATGATTTATTACGTTTTTGAATTCCAACTTTTGGCGAAAACACRTAATTATCTATGAATAGATCGCTCTCGTCACTGACCTGTTTCCCATTTAGCCTTCTTCCGCTTATGGTAGCTGCGTCTCCACGGATGCCTCCATGTCTTTCTCTCCAAAACCTCTTGGGATGGCAAGTACGCGGCGAATGAGCCCTCCAACATGTCTGGATTTCCACAAATGGCATGCGACGTGTCACAGTAGTAGGAACACTGTCCGTGAAAACACACATTTTTGTCGGGTGACACRAAGAATGTTTTCAACAAATCGGACGCGGTCACCTGGGCCATAAGTTCAGACGTGATGTTCACCAATCTGCCACTGACCGGCATTGCTCTCCGAAACCCCAATATCCTGTTGACAGTATAATATTATTATACACTAATTTTCCTACTAAAATAGTCTAAAAATTGTGAAACTRAMATTTTTTAAATATATTACGTTTATAATTTTATAAAAAAATTATATTTTACAATTATGGGAGGGGGGCGGCTCTTAGCTGATTAGTTTAGGCGGCGTAGAGGTAATCTTTGGTTTTTTTTT